CCTAATCCTGAACACTCCAGGTGCAAACTCTGTGAGCAGGAACTGCGGCATGATCTCCCACACTACATCACGGAATGCCCAGTTATCAGACCTTTCAGACCCGTTGGCATGAGGTACCTGAAGCTTTGCAATTACGTTATTTATTTAGTGTTCTTGATGTTTGAAACCTCATAAAGTTTGCTAGTGCACGCTACTGATAAAGCTCCATTTGCCGCTCCGTAAATAAAGCGACTGTCCAGGGTCTCTTCCGAAATGCAGATGTGCATGTTAATATTAATTAGTTTTTCATAATCATATACACAACCTCAACGTTTTTTAACGTTATTACAACGTTGCCACAAAGTGACAATATTACAAATAACGCTGAGTGTTTGCTGGGTGTATATACAGAGTGAGAGACCCGGGCACCGCCTGGTATACCATCTAGCGAGAGACCTGAGCACCTCCTGGAATACCATCTAGTGAGAGAGACCCGGGCACCGCCTGGTATACCATCTAGTGAGAGAGACCCGGGCACCGCCTGGTATACCATCTAGTGAGAGAGACCCGGGCACCTCCTGGAATACCATCTAGTGAGAGAGACCCGGGCACCGCCTGGTATACCATCTAGTGAGAGAGACCCGGGCACCGCCTGTGAGAGAGACCCGGGCACCGCCTGGTATACCATCTAGTGAGAGACCCGGGCACCTCCTGGAATACCATCTAGTGAGAGAGACCCGGGCACCGCCTGGTATACCATCTAGTGAGAGAGACCCGGGCACCTCCTGGTATACCATCTAGTGAGAGACCCGGGCACCTCCTGGAATACCATCTAGTGAGAGAGACCCGGGCACCGCCTGGTATACCATCTAGTGAGAGAGACCCGGGCACCGCCTGGTATACCATCTAGTGAGAGAGACCCGGGCACCGCCTGGTATACCATCTAGTGAGAGAGACCCGGGCACCGCCGGGTATACCATCTAGAAAGATATATAGAGAAGATTGCTGTGTGAATCATTGATCTAATAAGGCCAGAATAGTCCCTTAAGGATTTGAACCAAAGCTGCCCACTTAGCAGCCCGGTACTATACCCACTCAGCCATCAATAACGTAAAAGTATTGAGAGTACTATAAAAAGTAGCAGCTCACAAATATTCACGTTTTCTATGAATCGTGTAGGTTAGGCTAGGTGGGTTGCTAAGGTTCGTGCGTTGCTAGTTAGTGGTTTGTATTTTGTATGTTCTAGCAAATCAAGAGAATGGACAGTGCTCAGACTCCCTCGGGTAATTTGCTCAAGATGACACTATTGATACCACCTTACCTTGCGATGATTTCGTGTCTCAACGTCCCCGCGGTCCGGTCCTCGGCCAGGCCTCATGGTTGAGGACCTGGAGGCCTCTAAATAAAGGTAAAACCACAGATATCCCAGCTACACCAACAGGTGATTTTCCATTTTTTTTATAGACAAACAAAACACTTCCTCTCCACAGAGACTGACTAGAGCTCTCAGGAGCCAATACGAGGCAAGGGATCTCGCATCACGTAATCAAGCCCTCTGTTGATTGCTTGCTATTCCAACCATACACCAACCACAGCGAGCCTTAATATTACTTCTCCTTCTTTGCTTAAAAAAGTCACGTGACGCCAAAGTCTCGTTCAGCGCCATCTACAATTTGTCCTGGAAACTACATTTTTTTGTTTACATAGGGGAGCCGGTCGGCCGAGCGTACAGCACGCTGGACTTGTGATACTGTGGTCCTGGGTTCGATCCCAGGCGCCGGCGAGAAACAATGCGGCAGAGTTTCTTTCACTCTATGCCCCTGTTACCTAGCAGTAAAATAGGTACCTGGGTGTTAGTCAGCTGTCACGGGTTGCTTCCTGGGGGTGGAGGCCTGGTCGAGGACCGGGCCGCGGGGACACTAAAGCCCCGAAATCATCTCTCAAGATATAGGTTAGGATAAAGGCACTTTAATACGACCGTTTCTTGACGTTGGGGACGCTGGCGAGAACGGGCTGGGTTATTGGTTATGGATGACTCTCACGGGAGGAGGTGGGAGGCAGCGCCGAGGGTGGCAGTGATGAGAGGCAGCGCCGAGGGTGGCAGTGATGAGAGGCAGCGCCGAGGGTGGCAGTGATGAGAGGCAGCGCCGAGGGTGGCAGTGATGAGAGGCAGCGCCGAGGGTGGCAGTGATGAGAGGCAGCGCCGAGAGGCAGCGCCGAGGGTGGCAGTGATGAGAGGCAGCGCCGAGGGTGCAGTGATGAGAGGTAGCGCCGAGGGTGGCAGTGATGAGAGGCAGCGCCGAGGGAGGCAGTGATGAGAGGCAGCGCCGAGGGTGGCAGTGATGAGAGGCAGCGGTGGATCACGCGGGAAGGCCAGAGGAACCAACAAGGAGACACAGGAATAACACTGGCAGTAACGGCGATGGTGGGGGAAGAGAAAGTAAACAACAACACGAGGAAATACACAGTGTAAACACCGGTAATGTGCTGTTACGTTACCAACATCCTCCTCCTCCTCCTC